AAGGATGAAAGAATGAGGAGAGATGAAAATTGGTGATAGAATCAGGAAATACCAAAAGTTAAGAATAGATGAGTAGCTGGGCGCTGGTGGCTCACGCCTGTAATCCTAGCTACTCAGGAGGCTGAGATCTGAGGATCACGGTTCAAAGCCAGCCTGGGCAGGAGAGACCGACTGTGAGACTCCTATCTCTAATAAACCACCAGAAAACCAGAAGTGGTGCTGTAGCTCAAGTGGTAGAGCGCTCGCCTTGAGGTGAAGAGCTGAGGGACAGCGCCCAGGTCCAGAGTTCAAGCCCCACGGCCGACAAAAAAAAGAAAAAAAAGAATAGATGAGTAAACTGGGCACTGGTGGTTCAAGCCTGTAATCTTGGCTACTCAGGAGCTGAGATCTGAGGACTGCTGTTCAAAGCCAGCCTGGGCAGGAAAGTCCGTGAAACACTTTTTTTTTTTTAATTGTGAAAATACTGTACAGAGGGGTTACAATTACATGGGCAAGATAATGAGTACATTTCTAATCAAGCATTGTAACCTCCTCCTTTGTTTCCCCTTCCCATCCCCCCTCACCCACCCCTCTCACTCCCACCATGAAACTCTTATCTCCAATAAAACACCAGAAAACCAGAAGTGGTGCTGTAGCTCAAGTGGTAGAACGCTAGCCTTGAGCTGAAGAGATGAAGGACAGAGCTCAGGCCCAGAGTTCAAGCCTCATGACTGACAAAAAAAAAAAAAAAGAATAGATGAGTAAAAGAATTGATGAACAGCTTGAAGGAAATTTAGATGATTTTTGCTAAAAAAAAAAACATAAATGAATGCGAATATTAAAGACCTTCAGTGAATACTGAATATCACAAGAGTCTAGAAAGGCTCAGCTCTTTCTATGTTGTTTTTCTTAGAACGAATTTTAGCTGCATCTCTCTAGGAATGAAGAAATCAGATTGCAGGGCTGTTTTAATATGTGAGTTTTAGTAAAAGTTTAGGAAAGGGAGGAAGATGCTTGAGATTGAGTGTGCTGGTGAGAGTAACATGAGGGTAGTCATGAGCATGAGGCTGATCTTAGGAAGAGATAGATTTACTGGAAGGAAAGAAATGAAACTAAAGAGGTTTTTGTCTTGTTTTCATTTTCGTTTTGTTTTTTGGTGTGTGTGTGTGTGTGTGTGTGTGTGTGTGTGTGTGTGTGTGTGTCGTAGGGCTTGAACTCAAGGCCTGGGCACTGTCCTTGAGCTTTTGTGCTCAAGGCTAGTGTTATACCACTGGAGCCACAGCTCCACTTCTGGCTTTTTTGGTAGTTAATTGGAGATATGAGTCCTATGGCTTTTCTGCCCAGGCTGGCTTATGACAGCAATCCTCAGATGTCAGCCTCCTGAATCATTAGTATTACAGGTGTAAGCCACCAAGACCCAGTACCCAAAGGACAAAGGCACTAATCAGTGATCAGAAGCTGTCTTTGGCCCATCACAGATTTGGCTATATTCCATAGCAACGGTACTTGGTACTCACTATTTTTTTTTTCTTGGTTGTGGGGCCTGAACTCTGGGCCTGGGCGCTGTCCCTCAGCTCTTCAGCTCAAGGCTAGTGCTCTACCTCTTGAGCCACAGTGCCACTTCTGGCTTTTTCTGCTTATGTAGTGCTGAGGAGTTGAACCCAGGGCCTCATGCACACAAGGCAAACACTCTACCACTGAGTCACCTTCCCACCCCTTTGTTTTAATTAAAGATTTTTTAGGGGTCTTCCTCAGCCATAGCTTCTGACCCAGGATAGTACTAATTATACCAGATCAACTCTTCTCAATGTGGATATATAGAAAATACCCCTTTCCCCTGTAGTATTTGGTATGGAGGTTTAAACCCAGGGCCTTGGGCTTGCTAGGCTGCCACAAATATTTCAACCTCCTGAGTAAACATGTGACACATGATCCAACACCCAGCTGATTATATTCTTTTTCTTCTATTGGAAAGGTATGGTTTTCCCCTACTTTTCCTGTTTCTAAATATCTCTTTTGTAATATCTATCAGTAACTCACATCCATTTTACTTCCCTAAACCTTTCTATGTAATTGCTTCATTTGTTTTCTCAACACCTTCATGAACTTTCATGATGGCAAGGCTATGCCAGATGATATCCAAGGCCCTGTTCCAGTCATTCAGTCAACCAGTGATCAGCTTCGACTCTTTGCATATGAAGCAGAAGTCAATGAGAACTATGGAATGGCAGCAGTGTATTATGAAGAGGTAATCAAATGTTTTCATTGATGGTGGTTATTATTTATGAAAATGGGTATGATAAATAGTAGTTTTTGATTATTCAAAATCAAACTTGAATGGTAAAAAGGTAGAACAATAGGACAGAATCAAAGGCCCACAGTAATAATGTCATTAAATTATTTTTTTGAGTAGTTTATTGGAGTCTCATGGAGTTTTCTGCCTGGGCTGGCTTTAAACCGCAATCCTCAGATCTCAGCCTCTTGAGTAGTCAAGATTCCAGGTGTGTGAATCACTGACACCCGGCTTCTTTTGGCTTTTTGGCAGTACTGGGGTTTGAACTCAAGGCCTGGCCTCTTGATAGGCAGGTGCTCTACCATTTGAGTCACTCCAGCTTTTTTTTGTCGATTGTGGGCCTGAACTCTGGGCCTGGGCACTGTCCCTCTGCTCTTCAGCTCAAGGCTAGTGCTCTACTACTTGAGCCACAGCGCCACTTCCGGCTTTTTCTGCTTATGTGGTGCTGAAGAATCGAACCCAGGGCCTCATGCATGCAAGGCAAGCACTCTACCACTGAACCACCTTCCCAGCCCCACTCCAGCTCTTTTTAGTGCTGCTTTTTGTGCCAGTCCTGGAGCTTGAACTCAGGGCCTAGGCACTGTCCCCGAGTTTCTTTGGCTTAAGGCTAGCATTCTTCCACTTGAGCTACAACTCCACTTCTGGCTTTTTCTGTGTTTGTGTTACTGAGGAATTGAATCCAGAGCTTCATGCATGCAAGGCAAGCACTTTACTACTGAGCCACCTTCCCAGCCCAGTCATTAAATTTTTGAAAAAGATATAAAGAAATTTAATGGGAAAGGATAATCTTTTCAACAAATTGAACAATGGTTATCCTTAGGCAGAATAAATCATTCTTAAATATTTTAAAAAATCAATTCAAAATGGATAATACATCTAAACATAAAAACCATAACACTTCTAATCATAAAACATCTAAATATAAAACCATAAAACTTTTAGAAGAAATGTAGAAAATTTTTGACATTGAGTTATATAAACTATTCTTTTTAAATTATTAAATACATATTTTTATTGTAAAGATACTGTACAGAGCGGTTACAGTTACATGAGTAGGTAATGAGTACATTTCCTATGGAACATTGTTACCCCCTGTTTTCCCCCCACCATCCCTTCCCTCCCTACCTTGCCAGTTCCTCCCTCCCCTTCCCCAAGTTGTAAGGTTAGTTTTCAACATACTGTCTTGTATGTCTCATTGATACAATGGGTCAACCTGTATCCTTATTTCAGAATTTTGTTATTTCCCTTCCCCTCCCCAAATTAGAAAAATGTATATACAAGATGCGGAGCACCAGAATTACAGTGACAACAGGGGTTATACCATGGGGAAAAGCATACAAAAGAAACAAAAAAACACATAGTACATTATAAGTATATTAAAAATAACAGCAAGAGCTTGAGCTATATCAGCTATTCTTATATGAGACCAAAGCATGGTCTATCAAAGAAACACAACATGAAAGTTGAAAGTCTAATAGACGAAGGGTTAACAAGTACAGCAGTGGTTCTCACTAGATATTATGTTGAAAATGAACTATACAACTTGTGGGTGGGGACAGAAGGGAAAAACTGGGCGAGAGAAAGGGAAAACTGGGAAGGGGTGACTCAATTACCTTCTTTATGAAATGGTGACCCCTCTGTATATCACCTTTATAATAAAATTAAAAAATTTTAAAAAGTCAGGTGGGTATGGTTGGCTTATGCCTGTAATCCCAGCTACTCAGGAGACTGAGATCTGAGGATTGCAGTTGGAAGCCAGCCTGAGCAGAAAAGCCTGTGGGATTCTTATCTCCAATTAACCACCAAAAAAGCCAGAAGTACTGCTGCAACTCAAGTGGCAGTGTACTAGCCTTGGGCAAAAAAGCTCAGAGACAATACCCAGGCCCCAGAACCAGTAGAAAAAAATTAAAAGTCTATGTCCTATGAAAGAAGATAAGTTAAAAAAAATACAGATTAATATATGTCTAGGACAAGCAGAAGAGGTCAAAAGCTATGTACATATGACCATATAACCTGATGCTAAACAAAATGAACCCCAAGATAGGGACACAAGAGGTTTTATCTTTGTCGCTGTTCTTCTTAATGTACTATGTGATTTTTTTGTTTCTTTTTATGTTCTTCTCCCATGGTACAACCGCTGTTGTCACTGTATTTGATTCCGGTGTCCTGCATCTTATATATACATTTTTCTAATTTAGGGAAGGGAAGGAAATAACAAAATACTGAAATATGGATACAGGATGACCCATTGTAACAATAAGATGTACAAGAGAGTGTTAGGTTTTTAAAAAGAGGTAGCTGAGTAAGAACAGCACCATGCACATGGTATTCAGGTAAGGGGTAGGTTTATTCAGTAGACCTGCTGGAACCAGGCAAGGTTGGCAATCCACTCAGCTGGCAAAAGAGAAAAAATAGCTAGAAAAGAGAAGAGCTAGAGAAGAGCTAGAAAAGAGCAGAGAGAGAGAGCAGAGAGAGCTAGAAAAGAGCAGAGAGAGGTAGCCGAGTAAGAACAGCAGCACTCACATGGTATTCAGGTAAGGGGTAGGTTTATTCAGTAGGCCTGCTGGGACCAGGCAAGGTTGGCACTCCACGTGGCTGGGAAAGGCCTGGGACTGAGAGAGAGCTGGGAAAGAGAGGAAAGAGAGAGGAAAGAGCTAGGAAAGAGCTAGAAAAGAGCAGAGAGAGCAGAGAGAGAGCTGAGAGAGCTAGAAAAGAGCAGCGAGAGAGAGCCTCTGGGCCTGGGCTAGGCCTTATGTAGGGTATGGGCCGAGAAAGGTGTGGCCACATCAAATTCAGATGTGACCTCAGTGGATGCAGATGTGACATCTTCCAGGTGTCCCAGTTGCCTAGGTAACACAGGTAATGGGTGGAGACTTTGCTGCGAGGAGGGTGGAGTCTGCTCGCCATCCAGGAGCAGACCTTACATTCCAGCCTTTTAATAATTATGAAATAGAGCACGGAATCTCTCTGGCTACTTCCTGCTGACAAGGAGCATCGACAATAGGGGTAAAAGGCTGGAATTTGGTCCCCTCCCAGAGAAGGCAGTGAGCAGCAGCTGTCCCTTGGTGGCATGAGTCCTTAGATGAAGTCTGGAGAAGTCTCATGAGCATTGAGGGGCTGGAAAAAAATACTAGACAGCAAATAAATGGCAAGAGGAAGGACTTGGGACTGAAAATGTTGGTAGAAATGTCCCTAGCTACTTCTGACATCTGGCGACTAAGTAGAGAAGTCAGGTGACAAAGGCAAGAATATAAATTCCTGTTCAGTTAATAGGTAGACAGGTATGGACACTAGATGGGCAGGCTTCTTACTTCCACTTACCTCCCCGCTCTGGTTAATTTTGAAAGGGCAGGCACAAAGTAGCTGATGTGACATCATCTCCTCTTACTCCTCTCCATGTTCCCTTATTCCCCAGACTGGCTGAGTCTAGGTGCTTGTTGCTGGGATGGCTTGTCCCAGTTGGTAGTCAAGGAAGTTTGAACTCAAGGCCTGGGCACTGACCCTGAGCACTTCTGCTCAAAGCTAGCACTGAACCACTTTGAGTTATAGTAGAGTTTTTTTTTTGAGTTATACTTTGAGTTATACTTGTAGAGTTTGGCTGGTTAGAGATAAGTGTTTTGAGCCATGCTTCCAGCCTGGCTCTTTGTAGGTTAGTTGGGAGATGGAGTCTTAGGGATTTTTCAGCCCGGGTTGGCTTTGAACTGAAATGTTTGCCACAAAAGCCCTTTATTATTTCCAGTTAAAGCAACAAGGAGATCAAGTAGAATAAGTAGAGCTTACCTGCTTCTTGTCAAGAATTGCCAACAAATATTCTGCAATGACAAAACTCATTAGATGTGATGAGAATTTTAGCATAGATATGCCCAGTATTTTAGAACCACGTAGTCAGTAGTAGAATACAGAACACAAAACACAAAAAGCAAAACTCAAAACCTAAAATTTTGACAACATTTAGACATCTTTGCTAACAAAGCACATCAGATGGTTGGGCCTCAGTTACTAGGGCCTGTGAAAAGAGCAATTTGTTAGCAAGGCACCTTAAAACAGATGAATGAAGTAGTAAGCTTGGTGGAAGGTTAAGGGTCAGATGGGGCCAAACCCTTAACTCACCATGTGGCCAAGATGGCGAACTCAAGATGGAGAATTTCTGAAAAAAATACAAATAGATCAAGCCTACATTGGCTAGCCTTTGAGAGGGAACCTAGAGGAGGGTCCCTGGGACCCAGCCTGCGTCGCACTCTTCAGGGCACAAGCCAAAATGTAGAAAAGAGAAAGGGAGAGATAGGGAAAGTTGGACATGAATGGCAGAGAGAGCAAAGAGAGCCCAAAAGTAAACAGACTTCTGACCATTTACCATTGCAGTGGCAAAAACTGTCTACATCTGAGAATGACATAAAAATGAGGTGCTCTGGCTTTCCAGGGAGCGTAGGAGACATTTCAAAGGGGTTTCACTGCTCAGGCGTGATTCGCAGCACCTCATTAATTTAGTAGGAGAGTCAGTCTGGTGAGTGAAGGAGAGCTGACCAGGCAGAAGTGGTGTCCCGACTTCCCCCAGAGCCCTCTAGAGAGATCAACAGAGAACCGTAGAGAGTAGTTTCACTCACCAGAGTAGAGAAGTGGTATGGACATGGATGTGAAGGCCTCAATGGTATCGATGCGCTGTGTCTGCAGCAGACAGATGAGTTTGCAAAAGGCCGTCAGAACTGTGGGTATTCCTCAGAGCAAAAAGGGAAAAACAAACAGAAAAAGAAAAAAGAGGAAAAAAACAGAGAAGAACCCCAGCTATCCTGACTTTAAACCCTTTATCCAAGTCACAGCACCATTTATGTTAGGTTTTTAAAAAGAGGTAGGCCGAGTAAGAACAGCACCAGGCACGTGGTATTCAGGTAAGGGGTAGGTTTATTTAGTAGAGCTGCTGGGACCAGGCAAGGTTGGCAAAAATGTAAGGTCCGCTCCTGGATGGCGAGCTGACTCCACCCTCCTCACAGCAAAGCCTCCACCCAGTACCTGCGTTATCTAGGCAACTGGCACACCTGGAAGATGTCACATCTGCATCCACTGAGGTCACATCTGAATTTGATGTGGCCACACCTTTCTCCACCGGTACCCTAGATAAGGCCTAGCCCAGGCCCAGAGGCTCTCTCTCAGCTCTCTCTCTCTGCTCTCTCTGTTCTTTTCTAGCTCTTTCCTCTCTCTTTCCCAGCTCTCTCTCATTCCCAGGCCTTTCCCAGCCACGTGGAGTGCCAACCTTGCCTGGTCCCAGCAGGCCTACTGAATAAACCTACCCCTTACCTGAATACCACGTGAGTGCTGCTGTTCTTACTCGACTACCTCTCTCTGCTCTTTTTTAGCTCTCTCTGCTCTCTGCTCTCTCTCTCTGCTCTTTTCTAGCTCTTCTCTAGCTCTTCTCTTTTCTAGCTATTTTCTCTCTTTTGCCAGCTGAGTGGAGTGCCAACCTTGCCTGGTCCCAGCAGGTCTACTGAATAAACCTACCCCTTACCTGAATACCATGTGTGTGGTGCTGTTCTTACTCGGCTACCTCTTTTTAAGAACCTAACAGAGAGTATGTTGAAAATGAACTTTACGACTTTGGGGGGGGGTTGGGAGAGGGGAGGGAGGAGTTGGGGAAATGAAGAAGAAAGGGATGGTAGGGGAAATATAATGGAGGGTATAACAATGCTCGATAGGAAATGTACTCATTACCTTGCTTATGTAACTGTAACCCCTCTGTACAGTATCTTTATAATAAAAATATATATTAAATAAAGTAAGAGAAAAATTATCTACCTCCCGAAAAAATACAGATTAGGAGAAAATGTTTGTAGAACCTGTATGACAGCTGATTTGTATAAGAATATAAAGAGGCTGGGGATGTGTCATGTGGCTTAGTGGTAGAGTGCTTGCCTAACATGCATAAAGCCATAAGTGGTGCTGTGGCTCAAGTGGAAGAGTGCTAGCCTTGAGCAAAAAGGAGCTACAGACAATGTCCAGGCCCTGAATTCAAGCTCCAGGGCTGGCAAAAAAAAAAAAAAAGAATATAAGGAACTATCAAAATTCAGCATTTGTATATAAGAATTTACTTGAGTTCCTGTTAAGTATTTTTGGTATAAATTACAAATTAAATTGCTAGCACATCTGATAACATGTGTTTAATTTTTTAAGGATTTTGATTGGGATGTTAATGGGGATTGCACTGCATCTGTTGCTTGCCTTTGGTAGAATTAGCATCTTAATACTAGTCTTCCAATCCATGAATATGGGATATCTTTCCATTTATTTATATCTTTTTTCTTTAATGTCATTAATCAATATTTATAGTTTTCTCTCATTATCAGGCATCTTTTTTCTCAGATTTATAGACAAATCTAGTATTTGCCATTTTAAGATTTTGGCAGAAATTATTAGACATGGTTAATATACCACTGAGTGAAACTTTAGGCTCCCAAGATACTGAATGAGTTTAGGTTGTAGGTTGACCAAATAATGGGAGAAATAGCTTAAGGATTCAAATTGTTAATTATTTCAACAATTTTTGAGAACTTATTAAGAGCCAGAATAATAATGGAGTGTGCTATGTCCTATAGTAAGGAGAAAAAAGAAGTCTTAGCCTTCGCTTTTGTAAAACAGTATTTGTGGGGTGCTTCCTGAATGAGGTTGTACTATAAAAAAAGTAAGACATAGTGTCACAGTAATCTTGGCCCTTCTGATGCCCTGTGTGCCTAGAGGTTGGTCCGTGAGCCCCACAACCTAGAGCATTGGCTGGACTATGGCGCCTTCTGCCTCCTCATTGGAGACAACATCAAAGCCCAAGAGTGTTTCCGGAAAGCCCTTTCCCTGAATGAGAGTCATATCAACAGGTACAGGTGGAAGGGAGGTGCAGAAGTCTGAAGTGATCATCTGCTAGTGAAATTGTCTTGGTATTGTGAATGAGACACAGTACCATTGAATTAGTGGTCTCTTTTCAGCTTGTTGCTGTGTGGTATCCTGGCTGTCTTGTTGGAGAACTATGAACAGGCAGAAATTTTCTTTGAGGATGCCACTTGCTTGGAACCAACCAATGTGATAGCCTGGACTTTACTTGGTATGTTATTTTCCTGTGATATGAATGTGAATTTTTCCATTCTAAGATTCTGTCTTTTCTTTCTAGCCTCTGCTGCTCAGTTTTTTCTCATCATGGCTGGTGCTCTGCTCTCAAGGCCAGCTTTTTTTCTACTGGTTAATTAGAAACAAACTTTTGAGGCCTTTTCTGCTTAAGCTGGCTTTGAACTTTGACCCTCAGATTTCAGCCTCTTGAATAGCTGGGATTACAGGTGTGCCCCCAAGCACCCAGCTCCTTTCTACTTTTAATCAGCTCATTTGTTGTTGTTATTGTTGTTTTGTCAGTAGCTGGGCTTGAACTCAGGCTCTGTGCACTCTCCCCAGCTTTTTTGTTCAAAGCTGCTGCTCTAACACTTTTAGCCACAGTGCTACTTCCAGTTTTCTGGGAGTTAATTGGAGACAAGAGTCTCATAGACTTTTCCGCCCAGGCTGGCAAAACTGTGGTCCTCAGATCTCAGCCTCCTAAGTAGCTAGGATTAGAGGTATAAGCCATCAGCACCCAGCTCAAGTAGTTCTTAAACTTCAAGAAAAATATGAGAAAAGTAAGTTATATGTTGCAGTTTTTCATTATATGATGTCAAGAAATCTATCATATTCAGGGCTAGGATATAGTTTAGTGGCAAAGCACTTGCTTAGCAAGTGCAACCTGTTTCAATCCCCATTACCAAAAAAGAAAAGACAAAAACACAAACAAAAATACAGTTAAAGAATCAAATAGCTGGGCACCAGTGGCTTATGCCTATAATCCTAGCTACTCAGGAGGCTGAAATCTGATCATCACGGTTCAAAGCTATCCCTGACAGGAAAGTCTGTGAGACTCTTATCCCGAGTTAACCATCAGAAAACTGTGGCGCTATGGCTCAAGTGGTCGAGCACTTGCCTTGAGCTGAAAAGCTCAGGGACACCAATGAGGCCCAGAGTTCAAGCCCCATGACCAACTCACCCAACCCCACCCCCACAAAAAAAACAACAACCAAACAACAACAACAAAAATTACTCTTGGGAGAAAAATAAGAGAGAGTAACAATGTTTAACAAGAAATGTACTCATTGCCTTACTTAGGTAACTGTAGTCCCTCTGTACAACACCTTTACAGTAAAATTAAAATTAAAAAAACTATAGTATTCATTTTAAATATTTCCTCAGGTTTGTACTATGAAATTCAAAACAATGATATTCGAATGGAAATGGCATTTCATGAGGCTTTCAAACAACTTCAAGCACGAGTGCTCCAGATACCAGCAGGAAAGCAAAAGAGCATGGGCAATATGGCAGGTACCATAGAGAATGTGGAAGAAAAAGGGAAAATGGAATCTAATGCAGGCCCTTCGGGAACTGGAAATAACACAAATAATGAGTCTTCTTCAACAGCAGTCAAGGCAGAGGCCTCAGCAGGTAGGAGCAGGGAGTGGAGGGGTTATTAGGAAACACTGCTGACAGGGTTGGCACCAGGTGTATATTTACTAAATGTATGAGTGCTGGATTTAAAGGACAATTTTTATTTCTGAATCTCTTCATTCAGATGCTTAGTGGCCAGAAGTTTCTGTTGAAATTGCTTCTTTTGCTTCTGACCAGCATTCACTATAGTCACAAGTATCCCTAAAAAGGGGTAACAGTTGAGCAAAGTAACTTTTTTCCTTTTTCCACTTTGTTTACTCCCTACCATGTATGTCCTTGTCTTGTGACTCTTACATTTATTGGTTTATACACTTGCCCCCCCCCATCCCCACTGTCATGTGTTTTAATATCTACTCTATCAGGTCTCCCCATCTATTGTCTTTCATATAGCTTACTTAGGCTAGTCAAGAACTTTTATTTGTCTATTTTATACAGTTTATCAAATATATTTTTTACTGTTATCTGTGCAATTTTTATTTCTTTATTGAGATTAAGTGATTACAGAAAGTTCACAATGTTGTGTGTTGGGTCTTGGTCCGTCCCGCAGAAGACGGATGGGGTCCAAGGAAAGGTAAGTGCACTACTCGCCCCTTTCCCAGCCTCCCTTAGCCCCAAAGACAATCAGACACAGTGGGGAGTCAAGCCAAGCAGGAACTCCCACTTTTTAAAGCAAAAAACCCAGTGGCATGGAAGGGAAGGAAAAGGAACCAACCAATCGCTGTAGAGGTCACCCTATCGTGCGCCTAAGCTTTCTGTACTTTCCCTGCTGTCCGTGAGCTGTCATGCTTCGCCTGGTTGTGGCACCCAGTCAGATTTTAACATAAACAACTTGAGCTCTGCCCACTCAACTCCCTCTCAGCGCCATCTTTGCTGCCCATGTGCTCTACAATTGTGGGATAGTTATACTTAGCTAAAGTCACAAACACATTTTAACCCTTACAAGTCAAATTGTCATTATCATGGTCTATAATGTTTGTGAATTCTACAAGCTTTGATAGTACAACTATTTCTTCCACATTGGGTGATATGTACATTTCTTTCCTTTTGCTTAGTGTAAGCTGTTTCCTCTTTCCTTCTCATTCCCTCCTTCCCATTGCTGCCCTTGAGTTGCTTACTTCACTTTCATCAATGCCCAGTGCAGCTGATGGGCCCCTCTGCTGTATTTTTTCACTTGTTTCCCTCTGATACTGTGCCCTCCTCCTAGCTTCCCTCAGATGTGCACATGTATATACCATATGTGGGGTCAAGAACATAGAGTCATCTAAAAACAATACAACAAGTTAAGAAGAGGTCCTTTGTTTCTTGAGTCCTGTTTACTTTGACATATCTCCTTACATTTTGAATTTAATATCAACAAATAAGGGAGACCATGTGCCATATCCTCTCTGATCTTGACTTGTTTCACTCAACATGATTTGTTCTAGTTCCATCAATTTCCCTGTGAATGCCATTATTTTGTCCTTTCTAATGGTGGCATAATATTCCATTGTATATAGCTACCACAATGTTTTGATCCATTCATCTGTAGTGGGGCATCTGGGTTGTTTCCATATCTTGGCTATTGTGAATAGTGCAGCAAGGAAGATGGAGGTGCATGTGTCCATGTATCCTGGTTCCTGTTGCTCAGGGTAGATGTCTAGGAGTGGTAAGGCTGGGTGGTATGGAAGATCTCTGTTTAGTTTTCTGAGGAACCTTCAGACTGCTTTCCAGGGTGGTTGTATTAGTGTACATTCCCACCAGCAGTCCACTAGGGTTACTCTTTCTCTGCATCTCTGCTAGTATTTGTCATTGTTCGAATTTAGGATATAGGCCATTCTGACTGGGGTAAGGGTTGTTTTTATTTACATTTCCTTTATATCCTTTAGATGTCTCTTATAACCACAATATGCTTAGGTTTTATTTGTTATATGAACTGTCTTTTATCTGTCTTTTAATTGGAGTATTACATTACTAATACCCTTGAGCTTAAACAGTGTTACTGTTGGTTTTTTGGGGGGAGGGGTTGGTATGGCATATAGGAGCACCTACTTGTGTACACGTGCACTCACTCACACACACACACACACACACACACACTTTCTCTCTCTCTTCTCTCCTTTCTTGACTGTTTTCAGATTGATTGGAATTTTGCTATTCTGTTCCTTTCTTCTATATGCTTGAAAATTATATAGTATTGTAATACTTTTTTTTCAGTGCAGAGGTCTGGAAGGGCCTTAATCATGTCAGGCAAGCATTCTACTACTGTATTACACTTCCAGCCCTATCTCATAATTCTTCTACTGATTAATCTAAGAACTATAAACATCCATTATTGACTTATAAAGCTCAAATATTGATTTGTATCTCTATCCTCTTTTGTATTTTTATCCCTTTTTCCTCTTTTTAAATAGTTAAGACTTTAGAACATTGAACTGAATGTTCATCCTCCTGATTTATTTAAGATTATTTTGTAGGTATGTGTATGTTAGTTTTTGTCATTGTTACAAAACATCTGAGGAAAAGAACTTAAGAAGGCTTTATTTGGGTTCATGGTTTCTGTCCAAGGTTTCAGTCCAGCTAGCTCCACCATCTTGGGCGTGAGGCAAGGCAAAATAACATGGTTACCAGAGCATGTGGAAAACAAGGCTGCTCACTTCATAGTTTGGAAGTAGAAACCATGGCCCCATTCCTAGATGCCAAGGACAAGGGCAAGCCTTCAAAAGCATTCCTCCAGTGACTGACTTTGTCCTAACACTTGTTGAACAAGTGTTTATACACAAAATTGCTATGCTAAGCTGAATATGACTCTTCAAATCTACCCATGTCTGAATCTCTGGGACCTATGACTATTTCTATATATGCAATGGAGACTTTGCCAGTGTGACTCAAGTGAAGGATCTTGCAACAAGATTATTTTGAATGCTCCTCAAGGGCACACTCCTTCAGCCTAAGACATTTTATTTATTTTAATTCAAGTAGTTGTACAAAGAAGTTCCCATTCTACAAAGCAGTATATGAGTACAAAGTGTCTGACAACATTGTCACCCACCTCTCTTAACCCATCCCTTCTTTCACTTTTTTTTCTTTAATTGAGATTTGGTGATTACATAAATTTCACATACTTCACAGTATTGTGAAATAGTGATAGTTAGAATCACAAACACATTTTAATTTTCACAAGGCAAATTGTCATTATCATGGTCTATATAGTTGGTGAATTCTATGAACTTTGATAATACAAGTTATTTTTTCCACATCAGGTGCTGTTTACATTTCTTTCCTTTTGCTTAGTGTGGGCTGTTCCCACTTATTCTGTTCCTCCTCCTGTCTTCCCTCTGTTCTGTGCATATATCTACCATATATATGGTCCAGAACATGGAGTCGTTTAGCAGTGATATGACAAAATGGGTGGCTGTCTATTGTTTCTTGAATTCTGTTTGCCATATCTTCTTGTATTTTGGCTTTAGCATCCTCATATCAGGGAGACTGTGCCGTTTGTTTCTTACTTACATGTGCTGTTTGAGCTTACTTTGCTCAAAATAATCTGCTCTAGTTCCATCCATTTCCTTGCAAATGCCATTATTTTGTCCTTTCTAATGGCTGCATAATATTTCATTGTATATAGGTAACACAATTTTTGGATCCACTCATCAGTAGTGGGGCATCTGGATTGTTTCCATATCTTGGCTATTGTGAACAGTGCTGCAATAAACATGGAGGTGCATGTGTCTTTATATACTGGTTCCTATTGCTCAGGGTAGATGCCTAGGAGTGGTATGGCTGGGTCATAGGGGAGGTCTATATTTAGCTTTCTGAGGTATCTACAGACTGTTTTCCAAAGTGGTTGTATAAGTGTACATTCCCACCAGCAATGCAGTAGGGTTCCTCTTTCTCCTCATCCCCTCCAGCATTTGTCATTGGCTGACTTTAGGATGTGGGCCATTCTGACTGGGGTAAGTTGGTATCTCAGGATTGTTTTTATTTGCATTTCCTTTATAGCCAGGGATGATGAATATTTCCTCATGTGTTTCTTTGCCATTTTTATCTCTTCTTCTGAGAAGTCTCTCTTTAGTTCCCTTGCCCATTTCATGATTGGTTTGTTAGATTTGGGAGGGGGTAGTTTCTTGAGTTCCCTGTGTATAATGGATATTAGAACCTTGTCTGATATATTGCTGGTAAATATTTTTTCCCAATTAGTTGGCTATCTTTCTAGTTTGGTTGCTATGTCTTGAGCTGTGCAGAAACTTTTTATTTTAAGGTAGTCCCATTTGTCCAGTCTCTTTCCAACTTGTTGTGACCCTGGGACTCTGTTCAGGAAGTTGCTGCCTGTGCCTATAAGTTCAAGTGTCTCTCCTACTCTGTCCTGCAGTAGTTTCAGAGTATCAGGTTTGATGTTAAGGTCTTTAATCCATTTTGAGTTGATGTTAGTGCATGGTGATAGACTAGGGTCCACTTTCATTTTTCTGCATGGGACCACCCAATTTTCCCAGCACCAATAGTTGAAGAGGCCATGATTCTTCCACTGTATGTCTTTGGCTCCTTTGTCAAATATCAACTGACTGTACAAATGTGGCTTTGTTTTTGGGTCCTCTAGTCTGTTCCGTTGGTCTTTGTGTCTCTTTTTGTATGAGTCCCAAGCTGTCTTTGTTATTATGGCTCTATAGTAGAGCTTGAAATTTGGTATCGTGATTCTTCCTGCATTCTTTTGCCTAGACTTGCTTCGGCTATTCTAGGTCTTTTGTTATTCCATATGAACTTTTGGACTGTTTTCTCTATTTCTGTAAAGTACATCATTGGGATTTTAATGGGAATTGCATTGAATGTGTTTATCAATTTTGGCAGTATAGCCATTTTCACTATGTTAATTCTGCTTATCCAGTGTTGGTTCTTCATCCGTCCCACGAAAGATGGACAGGGTCCAAGCCAGAGCAACAAGCACTCTACCACTGAGCCACCTTCCCTGCCCATTGGCTAGAATTTTATTGTGGAGCTTTACATCTGTGTTCATCAAAGAGATTGGTCTGTAGTTCTCTTTTTTTGTTGGGTCTTTGCCTGGTTTGGGGATGAGAGTGATATTGGCTTCATAGAATGAGTGTGGGATTACTCCTTCTGCTTCTATTTCTCTGAAGAGCTTCAGGAGTATGGATATTAATTTCTCTTTAAAGGTCTTATAGAATTCTGTAGTGAATCCATCTGGTCCTGGGCTTTTCCTTGTTGGAAGGTTTCTGATTGCTTCCTCTATCTCACTGTAGATTATTGGTATATTTAATTGATTTATTTCTTCCTGGTTCAGTTTGGGCAATTTGTATTTCTCTAGGAATTTGTCCATTTCTGCTAGGTTTTCCATCCTTTGTGAGTATAGAATCTGGAAATATTTCTTTATAATTTTTTGGATGTCTTGGATGTTTGTTGTAATTTTTCCTGTGGCATCTTTGATCTTATTGATTTGGGTCTCCTCTCTTCTCTTTTTAGTTAATCTTGCCAGTGGTCCACCAATTTTATTGATTAAAAAAACAAACAGATTTTTGTTTTATTAATTTTATTTATAGTTTTCTTAGTCTCTATTTCATTAATTTCAGCTCTTATTTTGGTTATCTTGCTTCATCTAGTGACTTTAGGTTCAACTTTTTCTTGTGTCTCTAGCAGTTTTAGTCACATCATGAGATTGTTTATTTGGTCTGTCTCTGTTTTCTTGATGTGTGCACTGAGAGCAATAAACTTGCCCCTCAGGAATGCTTTCGCTGTGTCCCATAGGTTTCCTTGTGATGTGTCTTCATTTTCACTGAATTGTAATAACTTTTTAATTTCTTCTTTAATTTCTTCTGTGACCCATGTGTTGCTCAGCAGTGTGCTGTTTAATTTCCAAGTGTTTGAGTTTTTTCTACTGTATGCCTTGTTATTGAGATCTAGTTTGATTCCACTATGGTCAGATAAAATACAGGGGATTATGTTGATCTTCTTGTATTTGCATAAATTCTTTGTATGAACTTAAGATATGATCTATTTTAGAAAAAGTTCCATGAGCTGCTGAGAAGAATATGTACTGGGTTGTTGTTGGGTGGAAAACTCGGTATATGTCAGTTAATTCTGTTTGAGAAATGAGATTATTTAATTCAGAGACTTCTTTGCTAATTCTTTGGTTGGTGGACCTGTCCATTGGTGAGAGTGGAGTATTAAAGTCTCCTAATATTATTGTATTTGGATCCATTATTTCCTGTAAATCTGAGAGTATTTGCTTAACATATTTGGGTGCACAAATGTCTGGGGTATATAGATTGACAATGGTGATGTTCTCTTCTTGGATTGTTCCCTGTATTGTTATATAGTGATCTTCTTTGCCTTTTCATAGTGATTTTAGTGTAAAGTTTATTATACCAGATATCATAATGGCAACTCCTGCCTTCTTGCTGGTGGCATGGTAGATCTTTCTCCATCCCTTCACTCAGGGTTTGCTTTTATATTTGGTTGTGAGGTAGATCTCTTGAAGACAGAAAATTGATGGATCTTGTTTTCTGATCCAATCTGCACTTCTTTTTCTTTTGACTGGTGAATTGAGTCCATTAATATTTATGGTTATCATAGAGAGGTATATTGTATTTCTTGTCATTTTATACTTTCCTAAGTTTTTCTTCTTTCCTTCCCTCCTGTGTTTACTAAGTTGGTCTCCTAACGATATCTATCTGGTCTGGATCCCTGTTTTTGAATGCTTTCTTCATATTGTATTCCTGTTCTTAATATTCTTTGGAATGCTGACTCATTGTTTATGAATTTATTTAATTTTTCTTTACTATTAAAAATTTTAGTTTCTCTCTTGAATGTGAATGCTAGCTTTGCTGGATATACCAGTCTGGGCTGGCAGTTGTTGGTTCTCAGGGCTCGGATGGTACTTTCCCAGGCTTTCCTTGCATTCAGAGTCTGTTGGAGAGATCTACAGTGATTCTAATTTTTTCCCATTGTAGTATAGCTCCATCTTTGCTTTTGCTGCTTGCAAGATTGTTTCTTTATTGCTTATATCTAGCATTTTTACTATAATATGTCTTGTAGTGTTCCTCCTGGGATCGATCTTGTTAGGTGTTCTGTAGGCCTCTGTTATGTAGGTAAGATTTTCTCTTTTAAGAATGGGGAAGTTTTCAGTGATGATCTTATTGAATAAATGTTGTATTCCTTTATTTTGGTATTCCTCTCCTTCGTCCACCCAGTTAATCTAAGGTTAAATTTCTTGACACTGTCTGCTTACTCTTGGGCTTCTCTTTGGCATGTTTTGAGTGATTTTTCCATATCTGTAACTTTTTTTCTAGTTCTTGCATTTTGTCTTCAGTATGTGATACTCTATTTTCCATTTCATTTATTCTATTAACTGTGTCTTCCATTGTGGTTTGCATAGAGGAAATTGAATTTTGCATGGAGGAGATTGAGCCATTTATAATTTGTAGGTCATTCCTTAGAGTACTAATTTCGTCTTTTAGCTAGGTGTGTACTGTATCTATTTTGTGTGTATTTCTTGTTTGAAGGCCTGGATCTCTTTTGAAAGCTCATTTGTTTGTTCTTTAAATTTCAGATTTATTTCTCATTTTAATTCTTTTTTTGGGGGGGAGGGGTCCTGTTGTGGGGCCTGAACTCTGGGCCTGGGCGCTGTCCCTCAGCTGTTCAGCTCAAGGCTAGCACTCTACCACTTAAGCCACAGCACCACTTCCGGCTTTTTTTTTTTTTTTTTGCTTATTTGGAGCTGAGGAATCAAACCCAGGGCCTCATGCATGCAAGGCAGCGCTCTATCACTGAGCCACCTTCCCAGCCCCGCAGCCTTTATCTTTTAAGCTGAGGAATTGAACTCAAAGCTTGCTCACATGCTGTACATGCGAGTCTGGGGTCCTTCACTACCACTGCCTTCACCTTGGCCGCTGCTGCTGTTCTAGGCTAGGTTGCTTACATGAGCCTGTGTAAAGAGACACAACATGGCACTGCACGTCTGGAGTCGTTTGCTGCCCCCACCACAGTCACCACCATCCCAAGCTGGGTTGAGTGGCTTCCAGGGACTGGGGGATGGGGGAAGAGGCACCAAGGGCCTAGAGTCATTTGCCGCTGCTTATGAGGGCCAGTGCAGAAAGGCGCTGCATCATACTGCAATTCTGGGGTCGTTTGCTACTACTACCACAGTCACCACAGCCCTGAATTGGGTTGGGTTGCTTCTGTGGGTTGGGGGAGAATGATGCAGGGCTGGGAGTCTAGGGTTGCTCACCGCTGCTGCTGCCACCGTGGCGGCTGCCACTGCCACCCCAGGCTAGGCTGGGTCCCAGCATAAGACATTTTTAAATCTAGCTATGAGTATGGCTATTTTTTTGAACACTGGAATAAGATAGAAAAAATTACAAGATTCATCAACAGCCAAGACAGCAAACCATCCCAAAAGGCCAGCAGCCACCCAGGGAAGAACTACAGTGAAAGCAAAAAAGAAATGGAATACAAATGCTACATCCAAGAGCTGTTAGAGGCAAT